ACCCTAGCAGAATGTGATGGATGACAGTGCTTGTTGAAAGTACATGAAAGACTTGGTTTTACCATTTTTTTCTATTCCTTGCTCCCTGAAGTCCCCCATTTGTTCAGTCAATTTTACTGAATTCCTTTGAGAGTGCAGCAATAGAAGGCAGACAAGCTCCTATCCTTTTTCAGTCTTGCATTTAAGTGAGGAGCAATCGAAAATAAATAAGCACAGAATCAACATGATCATTTCAGTGTGTGACATAGTGGGAAAGGCTTCTCTGGACAGGTGGGTCAGGAAAGGTTTCTCTGCATAGGTGACGTTGGAGCCGAGACCTGGAACACGAGAAGGAGGCAGCCCTTCATTAAAAAAAATTTTTTTGAGTGCCAAAGGCTACACTTATTTATAAAACTAATTTCCATAGTTAAAATCTGTGAGGACTTCTATTGCTTATCTGCTACTTTTTTACTTTTTGCTACAGGGAAGTGGTAGCAAAAATATCACTGATAAAAGGTTTTAAATGCAAATTTGATGAGGCCTATTTTAAAAATAAACATGCGAATTCAGTCACAAAGCAAGTTCGGACCACTGATGGCATTTCTTTATTTATGATGTTATTTAGTACAGTCTGTTTTCTCTGTCGTCTATAAACAGTAGTCTAATGTAATGTCTGTAACTCATATCGGATATTTTAGAGGAAACTTTAGAGAAGATGAACATGGGTAAATTACAAATGCTTTTAAATAAAAGGAACCAGAATGTGTTTATTTGAGCCAGTTCTTTACATATTGAATTATAAGCTTTTTTCTTTTTTTGCGTTTTCCTTCAGGTCCTTAAATAGATCCAGATATATTTTTTAGTTGTCACTCTGTGACTTCCTTTTCTTTAACAACGAACATTGACTCAACATTTTCCATGCATCTTCAAAATCTTTGAAATGAACATTTAAAATTACTTTTTAAATATCTGATGTGGCAAAAAATGTTGATGGCAGAGAGGAATATAAAATAAAATTAATCTTCCTTCCAGCCAGACCCCTAGCCGGGATCCCTCTCTGGAGACAGCTGCTCTTAGATTTTTTACAAATTTTTCTACAAGTTTTCTGTGCAAATACAAGCATGCACAGAATCATGTATTTTTGTTTTAACCAGTTATCTTTGTTTTATGTTTTTTTATTCTGGTCATTTCCTCTTTTAAGTTTATTGAGCAAAAGTTTCTTTTTTACATTTTTGGGTTTTTACGCAGTCATTTTTCATTTAAATCAGTGTTTATTGAGTATCTACCCTATTCTTTGACCTGCTGGAATTCACAACGGAGTGGGAGAAGACAGGTGCACAAGTATTCAGTGCTGTCGTAAGGGTATGAAAAAATTCTGTGGGAGAGAAAAAGGGAATTATTTCCTCTCTGGGAGTAGATCAGGGAAGACTCTGAAGAGCAGGTGACGTTTAAGATGTTTCCTGAAAGGTGGTAGGATTTTGCCAGCCAAAGGGAATCCGAGCCAAGCCCTAGAACTGACCAAGTGATTGATATGGAAGAGGGCACAGTTTCTTTTGATTGAGTACCGGCTATTTTTTGCAAGGGATAGGGTGATGCAGACCAGAAGGTGGGTTGGAGCCAGGTTAGGAAGAGTCCTGAAGACTGTGTTCAACTGTTTGGACATTCTCTAGGTGATGGGAACCATACAGATGATTTTTCCTCCTTCTTAAACAGCAGTCACCAGCATTTTTGATATTCTGTTAAAGAGTGCTGAAAGGAAGCGATTTTCTTGTTCCTATTTCAAAGGGAAATGAGTCTAAGACTTAGTGAAGTATAATAGCAATGTAAAGTCACTAACGCTAAGTGTCCAGCTGGATGAACTTATTACTCATTTAACTACCATCCAGACCAAGATAGAGCATGTCTACAGGCACCCCAAACCCTTCACAGGACCCAAACCCCATCCTTTCCCCCAAGTAACCACTGTTCTGACTTAAATCACCACCAAATAATTCTATATTGGTAACTTTTTACCTCTGCACCCTTGTGTTTAAGAGAGAAGTCCTCCAGACCTTCTATTGTAGTGTTTTCTTGAAGAATAAATACTGAATTTACTACATTTCTGCCTAGAGATAATTGCCTAGAGATAATTGCCTGAGTATTTGCCAGTGTACGTATGTGGTTGGTTTTACAGTCCTCCTCAGTGTTCGCATCTTCTGCTTTCCTGCAGTTTTGAAGCCCCAGTGGCCCTCCCCATTCACAGTTGAGTCTGTTTTTTATTCAGCTGACCATGATGATGCTTGCTTTTGTTTCCTGCTCCAGGCCCCTGGGCTTGCCCTGTTCTTGCCTAGTCACTGAATGACCTGGGACAGAGATCAGCAGGATCTGTTGGGATCATAATTAGGAATTTAATAATATGTTTAGTTTTCTGAGAATATAGATTCCTTTATGGCCTACAAGTCATATTTTTTGACTTTTGGCTGTTTGATTTTCAAAAATATTGTCATTGTGTACTATTAATAAAAACCTGGTTTATTGTTTCTCCACATTGGACTAGTTATTGGAAGACCTGGTTTCCAGTCCAAGTTATACTTCAGTTTCCTAACTTACACAATGAGGAATTTAGATTGCAGGTTTGTTTGTTTTTTTTCCCCCCGAGTCAGAATCTCACTCTGTTGCCCAGGCTGGAGTGCACACTCACGGCCACTGCAGCCTCAACCTGCTGGGCTCAGGTGATCCTTCTGCCTCAGCCTTCCAAGTATCTAGAACAACAGCTGTGCGCCACCATACCCGGCTAATTTTTTTGTTTTATTGTGGAGACAAGGTATTGCTAAGCTGCCCGGGCTGGTCTTGAACCTGTGGGCTCAGGCAGTCCTCTCGCTTCCACCTCCCAAAATGCTGGGATTACAGGCGTGAACCACTATGCCCAGCTAGATTACAGTTTCTTTAATGGACTTTTTCAGCTTGAATCTCCATGATTCCATTTTTTAAAATTTTATTTTATTTTTAACTGATCACTTGTATTATGGTCCATGATTCACTCTTTTAGATCTTTACTTTGTTCGGTTTTCTTTATTCCTGCTTGCATTTCTGATGGTTTTCTCTTATGCCAAAGGTTTTTTTTATGTTGTTTTGTTGGGACATAAATATTTACTATTAAGTTTTTATTACTTAGTGACATTTTACAGTTTATTTCTGTCTCAAGGCTTTTTGCTCTGACTTCTGCTTACTTATGATCTCTTGCTCCTCATTTATTTACTTAGGCATGATCTTAATCATCTCCAGCAAATTAAAAATAAATTCCATATAAGTTAAAGATCTAAAATGTAAAAAATGAAACAATAGATGTGAAGAAAATATAGGGTGATATGTTTCAGACTTTTAAAAAATTAACTGGTAATCCAGATGCCATAAAAAGGTTTTATTTTGTAAAAATTGTAAATGCCTTTGAATCAAATACACCATACATGAACAAAATCAAGAACTAAACTATAGACTTGAAGAAAATATTGACCACACATCTGAGAAAAGACTTAATATAGAGAAAGTGTACAGGAATTATAGGCAACTCCTTGACTGAGCAAAGGATATACATAGGCAATGTGCCAAGTAGGACATTTGGTTGACAGTTTTTGACTAGTTTGCAATCAAGGAAGTGTAAATCAAGACCTGTTGCCCTTTTAAACCTACACAATTGGCAAAATAAAGGTGACTGATGTCACCCAGTAGTTGCGAAGCTTGCTGGTAGAAACTTGACTTGTTACAACCTTTTGAGAAAGCATCTGGCAATGTTTAGTAAAACAAGAGAGGCTTTCCTAACTTGGAAAAAAGAAAGGATACCGTATCTTTTGATGCCATCAATCTATGGAAATCTCTACTTCAGAAATAAAATTAATGGCCAATAAAGATATATGTGTAAGGATGTTTATTGCAAATTATAGTAGCAAAATTGGAAACATGACTGCCTGTCATATAGAATTGTTTAGTAAATTATGGTGTGCTTGTACTAAGGCTATTATGTAGCTATGAAAAAGATAAGTTATATGTGTATATTCTACATGGAAGATAGCCATGATGTATAATTAGTGAAAGAAAAAGAGGCAAGTGACAGTGTAATGTGTATATGCTAATTTCATTTTTGTAATAATGTGATTCTCAAAAAAACTCACAGAGGTTAGAAGGGGGCATGGTCCTGAAGGTGAAAAAGAGTGGGAGGCAGAGCGACTGTTGGTCCAGGAGAGAAGGCTAAACTTTGGGCAGAGGAGAGGAAGAGGTGATGGGAGTGGGATAGCTTTAGGAGGCAGAATCAGAATTAAAGCAGCAGGAGGAACGTTCTAGACTAGGATTCCAGTCTAGGAGACTAGGTGGTGGTGGTGGTTATTGATGAAGGAAAGAGTTGCTTGATACTTTATTATGCTTGAAGAGAGAGGAGGAACAGATTAAGAGGGGGAAAATGTTTGGGTTTAGAACAAAGTGAATTTCAAGAGCAAGTTGACATGTCCAGCCAGCCAGTTGGAGAGACACAGTTATAAATACCAGAAAAGGGAGCTGAGTTAGAGATCTCGTTTTAGGGCACAGCTGAGAGGTGGTCATGGAAGCCACGGACTTAGATAAAGAGCAGGCAGGAGGAAAAGGGGTACCTTGTCTAGGGCCACACTAGGATTCTCTTTTAGTACTGGGAAATTTGTTTCCTCTTATCTCCTTGATTATGAGTCCCACATTGCAAAGCTTTTTTGTTTCTTTTTTCCTTAAATACTCTGTGATTCATAGATTAATTCCTATTTTCCAGACCAGTTTCTATTGCACTTATTATTCTGAGGCTTCTTAATAACTTCCCTGTGGTCTAAGATAGTTGTGCACATATACCTTCAGCACTGTCATACTGTGCATTGCTCTTATTCTACTCTTAGTTTTCCCTTCTTTCTCTTTCTCTTTGGCATTACAGTTTTAAATTTATTTCCTTCGCCGAGCACGGTGGCTCAAGCCTGTAATCCCAGCACTTTGGGAGGCCAAGGCAAGAGGATTGCCTGAGCCCACGGGTTCGAGACCAGCCTGGGCGACATGGTGAGACCTTGTCTCTACAATAAATTAAAAAAAAAAAAAACAAACAAAAACTAACCGGGTGTAGTAGCTTGTGCCTGTAGTTCCAGCTGCTTGGAAGGTTGAGGCAGAAGAATTGCTGGAGCCCAGCAGGTCGACGCTGGGGTGGCCGTGAGTGTGCCACTGCACTCCAGCCTGGGTGATGGGGTGAGACTCTAATTAAAAAAAAAATTATTTCCTTTTGCCCTTGGAGAAACAAAATGAGCAGAGACAGCATAGTTGTTAGTATTACTAAGTTAGTATTACTAGTATTACTTGGGTAGCATTTGGGTTAGTGGAAGGTCAGCTTAGGGAGTAGATAGAAGCCAGCTGTGGAGGTTGTTAAATAGTAGAGTTTAGACTGTATTCTGGAGGTGAGGATGAGCATTTGGGGGGTTTTTGAGGTGGTGTCTGGAAGATGATTCTGACAATAGTGAGAAAAGTGGATCGACAAGGCAGAGGGTTGGGAGGTGGAAGCAGGAAATCCAGACAGGAGTATATTTCAGGGAGAGGGAGAGGGAGTATACTTTAGGGAGAGGGAAGCATCAAGGTGCTGCTGGTGACAGTGGCAGTGAAAACTAAAGCACAGACAAGACTGTCTAATGATTGGGTGTGGGGGAGGAAGGAATAGCCAAAGACTATCCTAAGAAAATGACAGTAAAGCTTAGAGAAATGGGCTGGGAGTGGTGACGCACGCCTGTCATCCCAGCACTTTGGGAGGCTGCAGCAGGAGGATCACTGAAGCCCAGGAGTTGCAGTCCAGCCTGGATAGCATGGTAAAACCTACAAATCTCTACCAAAAAATTAGCCGGATGTGGTGGTGTGCGCCTAGAGTCCCAGCTACCCGAGAGGCTGAGACAGAAGGATTGCGTGAGCCCAGGAGGTCAAGGCTGCAGTGAGCCATGATTGTGACACTACACTCCAGCCTGGGTGACAGAGTGAGACCCCGACCCCCCCAAAAAAATACACACACACACACACACACACATACGTATGTAACAAGACATAGAAAAGTTTAAGTGAATTATATGACCATCTCATCCATAAGAATTAATGAAAAACAAGTTATTATAAGTTATATTTTAATTATATTTCATATATTACTACATGTTACTACAGTTTTCAAAATTAGTTGAACATTAGTAAAGCATTAAATGTGGGAAATTGTTTTATTATAAAGTAGAAGAACAGATACTTGTGGAACTTGCTTCATGTATTCTTTGATACATATGGAAATGTGTTTTGTAAATCAGTAAACTAATTTTTAAAATACGCTTAGGTTGATTTTGAAAATCCTTGTAAGGAGCATAGTAATGGTATTAATTGATTGTGAATCAAGACTAAATATTTGCTTCCTGAGACTGTGATGTATTTTGTTGAAAAGCATTAAGTAGTAAATCAGAATGAAAATGTTTATTTATTTAATTTTTTTTGGCGACAGGGTCTTGCTGGAATGCAGTGGTGCAGTCATAACTCACTGCAGCCTTGAATGTCTGGGATCCAGTGATCCTCTTGCCTTAGCCTTCCAAGTAGCTGCGACTACAGATGCCCCTGCTCCTGTCTAATTTTTGTTTTTATTTTTTATAAAATAGAGTCTTACTATGTTGCCCACACTGGTCTAGAATTTCTGGCCTCAGGCAATCTTCCTGACTCAGCCTCCCAGATTGCTGGTTTTACAGGCATGAGCCACCATGCCTGGCTCATATTACAGTTTAAATATACTGTATAGGTTAGCTGTTAAAAAGAATTGGATTTTGACTTGGGGCAAATTATATGCTTTTTGTGTAGTTTAACAAATTTCCAATTGGATTTTTCCTCAGTTATTTTGAACCTTTTCAATGGTTAGTCTGTTATTATATTTCTGTTCACTTAAATTCTTAAATCCTTTTTTTTTAAACAGAGATAAAAGCAACAGTGTTCGATGATTGCAAGAAAGAAGGCGAATGGAAGGTAGAATTTGCTTACCTTGCCCTTAACGTTGACATCAGTATGCTGTCCCTAGGATACTTTATAGAGTAGGGTTGTCTTCTATGTCTAAGCTCTGCATCCATGGATTCAGCTAACCTCAGATAAAAAATGTTTGGAAAAACAATAAAAAATAATACAAATTTATAAGACAATACAGTATAACAGGAGTTTATATAACATTTACATTATGTTAGGCATCCTAGTATAAATAATCTAGAGATGATGCGTGTGGGAGGATGTGTGTAGGCTAGTGGCAAATACTGCGCTCTTCTACATGGGTCTTGAACATCCATGGGTTTTGGTATCTGTAGGGGTCCTGGGGCCAATCTCCCATGGATACTCAGGGACGACTGTATAGAGTCTGGAGCCACACGGCTTGACTTCAAATCCCAAGTCCACCACTTCATAGCGTGACCCCCTTGAGCAAGTTACATGGCCTCTCTCTGACTCTGTTGTCTTGTTTATAAAATGGAGGTGGTAATGCTTCGTATGGTAGTTGTAAATATTTTATGAATTAATCTATATAAATTACTTAGAACAGTGCTTGGAACAATAATTATTATTCTATAAATGGGAAACATAATATTACAATATATAAATATAATATACATTTAAAATGAACAAACTCTCTGCTTCAAATTGGGAGTTTTTCCTTTTTTTCCTCCTTTTTTCAAATTGGAAGTATTTCTATTTGCTTACTTATGTATAATACTATATGCATGTATATTGGAAAATAAATCCCCAGAACATGCAAGTTAAAAGATGAGCTGAGATCATTTTGCCTTACTATCCTAATATTTTATGTTATAAAGATTTAAAAGTTTGCGTAACTTTAATGGATAAAATTCTATCTTTTGTGAGTTTTTGATAATAAGATGCTTATACCATTTCTTAATTTGTATTTTTTTTAAGATAATGCTTCTAGATGAATTTACCACTAAGCTTTTAGCATCGTGTTGCAAAATGACAGATCTTCTAGAAGAAGGAATAACTGGTAAGTGTTGCTAATTCTCACTATGAAAATTTTTTTTATTGTGATAGATATTTGAAGTATTAAGAAACTTTAGCTAGTAATTGTGCTTCTGAGGAGCCTGTTTTATTTTTTTATGACTCTAGCCATAACAATTAGATTTGACATTCTTCTTTTCTCTGATTTTCTGAATAACCTCTGTCAGTTTTTTTCCTCAGCTGAGACTTAAAAGTCAGTTGCCTTGTTGAGGTTGTTCTTTACATTTTTTACTCTAACATATTTAACACTTATGTATATTAGCACGCTAGATTTACTGCAGTATTTTGATAAATTTTTGTGATTATGGATATTAAGAATTATGTCATAAACTCAGTTTTCTTTTTTACTTGACTCCCGATCTCACTCTGTTCGCTCTGTGCTCTGGAGTACAGTGGCACAATTACAGTTCACTACAGCCTTGACCTCCTGGGCCCAGGCCCTTCTGCTTCAGCCTCTTAAGTAGCAGGGACTACAGGCATGCACCACCACTCTCAGCTAATTTTTAAATTTTTTGGAGAGATAAGGTCTCACTGTATTGCCCAGGCTGGTCTCAAACTCCTAGGCTTAAGCTTAAGCAGTCCTCCCACCTCAGCTTCCCAAAAATGCTGGGATTACAGGTGTGAACCACTGTGCCTGGTCATAAGATCAGTTTTCATACATATTTGCAAGTGTATAATACTGACTTTGTAAATTTCTCTGTATTACCCAGAAATGAGACAGATAATTAGAACTTTAAATCAGTTTTAGTATGAAAGTTTTAAATACAGATACTGAAAAGAAATGATGCCACAAGAGATTATCTTCCACTAGGCAGGATAGTGTTAATGAGATATTAGTGTGTATTACCTTTTGGGGAAAATACCAGTATTTCATAATATTCATAATCACATTGTCATCCTTAACTGATCATCCTTTAACTCATTTATTATTATTATTATTTTTTGAGTTGGAGTCTCACTCTGTCACCCTGACTGGAGTGCAGTGGCCGCTCCCGGCCACCACAGCCTCGACCTGCTGGGCTCCGGCAATCCTTCCGCCTCAGCCCTCCGAGTAGCCGGAATTACAGGCATGCGCCACCATGCCCGGCTGATTTTTTTATTTATTGTAGAGATGAGGTCTCGCTGCCCAGGCGGGTCTCGAACCCGTGGGCTCAGGCAATTCACTCACCTCAGCCTCCCAAAGGCGCGGGATTACGGACTGAGTCACCGAGCCCGGCTAACTCATTTATTTAACCTCGTCTTTAGAACAATCCTATAAAGACAGATTTTAAATATTTACCCCATTTGTAGTGAAGAAACAGACTGAAAATATTTTAGAAAGTATTTCTTTGTATTTTAGATTCTAATGTGTTATAAGTGCCCTCTGTCACTTCTAACTTGTAAGGTTCAAAAGTATATTCAGTAATCTCAAGAAAGTCTGACCATATAATATTTATGTATTGATATTTATGTATAGCAATCTTTATTGTTGATTGCATATTCGATTTGTGACCTTTCTGACCTTCAGTGGAAAAAACTCTAAACTGGAACTTAGAAGATTAAAGCCTTGATTTTTCTTCTGCTGGATAAGTAAAATATTGGTTAAACCACTTACGTTTTTTAAGTCCCCAAAGATCATTCTAATGTGAAACTAGGGTGGGAACCATTTGATTATACGTGTGAAAGCACTGTGAATCTGTAGAGCCAGTATGCCTATAGGGAGGTTTCATTGCCTTTTCTTACTGCATATTCTGTGTTGCTAGATTTCTTTAAGAAAAGGATTCTGTGACCAGTGTTTGAGAAGCAGTATTAAACAGAGCCAAACAAGTTTTTTCAGCACTTTTCAGAGTCATTTATATGCCAGTGTATATGTGGGTCCCTGGGTAAAAGTATAGTCTTCCATTTTATTTGACTACAGAAAGTTGGTTTTTTTTTGTTTTTTTTTGTTTTTTAAGAAAGCAGTATTTATTGAGAGGACAGAAAAGCTCTCACAATGGGAAGGGACCCGAAGGGGTTGCACCAGAAAGCTATTTTTGAGAAACATTTCATGGGTCTGCATCATAGAGCTCATTGCTCTGGATGTTCTTGATACCCACTGGGGTTTACGCTGATTTTTTTTTTTTTTTT